CAGGAATGCTGAATTCCAAAAAAGGACATGAGAAACCCAGTTTTGAGGATATTTACACTTTGCAACCACTCCCATGTTCTTGACTTCTTCGAAGTGGCATCTCTTACATCTTCTGCTTTGCAGAGCCATATGTGTAAATGCTGTTGCATGAATTACTGGTAATGCAGGCAGTCTGTTGCTTCATCCAAGTCTAATTGATATCAGTATTTGGGATGCTGAGGCAAGCTCATGAGCTGACTGGAATGTAGCTCTTCAGAAATTGAGTACACTGAATTCAGCACTGCTTCTGGTGGGACGATGTGGTGGGCATGAGAGAAGACAGACATAGGGAAGTGCAATGTCCTGTGGAGGGGATCAGTACTCTATCTTCAGTCTCAGTTCTCACCCTGAGAGGGCTGAGACTACCTTTTTTTTAATTTTCTCCCTGGGAAGAATGTGTACCTGCCTGGCAGAGTGGGTCTGCATTCAGCAGGGGCCAGCACTGCTGCAAGAAAGCAATAGCTTCTGCATCTGCACACACAGGGGCTGTATGACCCCAGTTACTCTGCATGTGCAGTGTTGCTCACCCCTCTTCTTTTTGTTGGGGCTGAAAGGGCTGTAGTTTCTGAGGGAAGTAGCTGAGAAGGGAAAACCATCAACACTGGCCATCACACCAACAAACATTTTGATACTGACTGCAGTTGGAGGCAGAGAACAAGTTACAAAACAAATTCTCCTTCCCCCCTGACGTTTGATGAACTGGTAACAGGTGGCTGCTAAGAACCAGACCTGTTGCAGGCAAAAGATTGCCTGAAACTCCAAAGAAACTGTCAGGATGGAACCTGGCAGAAATTTTTGTCAGGAAGAGCACACCCAGGGTGCAATATTGCTTTCACTGTTCTTGAATGAGTCTCACTGGTGTGGTACATTGATGCCACGCAATCGCAGTTCAATAGGAAGTTTGATAAAGAGATGGGGAAGCTGACCTTCATGTATGACCTCTTCAGAGGAATCTGTCAGTGTGGAAAACACCCTTAAAGTTGGTGTAAAAGTCAGCATCCCCGTGACATCTCCTCAGCATTCCCAATGGCCTCCCATGTGCCGTGGGTTGCACAGCCTCAGCTGGGCTGCCATAAAAGGGTTTAGGAGTTACTCTTTTGTGCAACAGGAGGGAGACAAGGACACCTTGGGATGTGGCTGAAGCACTAAAGAGGTGTGGTGATGGCTTTTCTGAAGTACTCGGGGAGGATCTAGGATAATCCTTTTTCTCCTCATGTTTCCTCAGTGAGGCAGGTCTGTCTCTGGAGAGGTGAAATGGTGAAAGTCGTATCTGACAGCAACAGGAGCAGGATCCAACTGTCTGGCATGGATATCTGAGTGAGAAATAGCAGCCTATCCAGTCTTTCTTCCTGGAAGGACAGAAAGTTTCCTGGCTGTATATTTTATAGTGCTTTGTCTGGCAACATTTTGAAAGCCTTAGGCAGTTGATGTACCCAAGCATTTAGCGATAAAGACTTTCAGTTCTCTCCTCTTTGTGTGCTCCTTTCTCTACCAGTTGTGTGCTGGCTGGAGCATCTCAGGGAAGACTGTGGGTAAATAATGCATTGGAGGAGGTATCAGAGAGGATACACCACTTTCCAATGTAAATTACATGGAAATTAGGCTTCTGTGAGGCCAAAGGCCCCTCTGGAATAGGGCCTTTAGTTAACATAACACTTGTGCTAGATGAGGCGGTTGACACAGCTTTTGGGCTGCAGTGCTGCTCCCAGTTTACAGTGTGAAAGGGCTGAACCTCCAGTAGAGCTCTGCAGGGAATGACTTTCCCTGGCTGGGATCTGGGGCACTTTCTCTCTAGAGAGCAGCCACATCATTCCACCACGGGGTTGTTAATGTTTATGGGGGCAATCCTGTTAATGGAAACTTTTGTAGTCCTTTTAAAAACTCAGTAGGTGAGCCCTACCTAGCCAACTTGCTCTTTTGGGTGAGGTGTTCTGAGTAAGGGCTGGGTTTTCTTGGGGCTTGGCAGAAGGAAAACATAGAGTGTGTTTAATGCTGCCTTAGCCTGGATGCAGGTGTTTTATTGTAGTGGAGTAATTAGCTGGGGCTCCTCTTTTTTGCCATCCCTCTTCCCTTTTAGTATCCTGTTGCTGTCACTGTGTAAGTAGGTATCTTGCTGTTGTTCTCCCTATCCACTCCTACCTCCCTCCACCCAAAACAAACTCCCAGCACCTAATGGAGAAGTGGACGGAGGTGTAGACAAGGTTGTATGAGTCCCAAAGTCTTTGTAGGTTTGTAAGAAGGCTAGTCAGCTTGTGCCTGGGGCAATTTGGTGACTATTTTCCTATGAAGAAAGTTGCTACCCAGTGGGAAGGTGAGGATGGATGGATCAGCCTCTGTCATGGACAAACAGGCATGTGCTCCATTGATGGAGATGATGTTAGTTTGCTGTATTATTTTTTTGCAGTCAGATGTGAGCTTGCTTGGCTGTTGTGCCTGGGCTGAGAGGAAGTTTTGAGGCCACCCCAGCAATGGAGAAAGAAGTCTCTGTTTCACTGACCCTGCGTCCTAGCTGCAGAGATATGGAGCTGGCTCACGTTTGCTGTAAAAGCATGGATTAAACCTACCCCTAGTGCACTTTGTGGGCCCTGAAATGAAGGGCAAGCTGGTAGATATGTGAATTCACACCTGCAGCCTCCTGTTGTCACACAGGCTCAGGCAGAGGGCCAGCAAAGGGCTTGGGGCAGAGCCGAGACTGCAGCAGCTGTAGCTGTCCTCCCGTGACTCTAAAGTGAAGGAGAGCTTTCCCCAAAAAGGGTAGTGCAGGATCGATTTGCCTGCACATGGTGACCCCCACAGCTTCACCGCATTTACTTGCGGAGTGGAGAGATAATCTCCTGCTTAGAAATATAATAAATACACCAGCCTATTCCTCAGTACTGAGCCATGCTAAAGCTGGCTTTTGAATGAGCCCTGCATCTCTGTCTCTGGAAACATTTACATTTACAGCTCAGAGATGAAAAACGAAACATTTTTTTAATCCTGCTCCAAAAAAAAGGGGGAAAAAAAGAGAAAAATTAGATTCTAAGCATGAGCAGCTTCCATCCTTTCCCCCTAAGTTCACCTGACCTGGCCAGAGTCACTCAGAGGCTAGTAAGAACAGCTAGTCTCAGCTACCACCCCATACCAGCCTCAAAAAGGCAGAGGGTGTTCAGTAAGAGGAGAAAAGGCAGGATAGAGAGTATCTCCTGGGAGATGCAAAACAAGCTCCCTGGATTGCTAGGACTAGTGGTGACACGCGCCAGACAAAGGACCTGCTACTCTATAAATGAGGGAGCCAGGACCAGGGCCAGAATGAATCCAGTGAGAGCAAGCTCTGCGGCCAGGCACTGCCAGAGCAGTTGGGAAGGAAAAGCAGGAACTGTCTGATTTTGCTGCCCATTCACCCACTGACCAAGTTTCAAGAGCCACAAGCACCTGGGATCAGAAAAGTAAGTAACAACAGCCTCTTAACTTTACAGTGTTGCCTCCCCATTTTTGGGCTTATTTTGCAACTTTCTTAGGAATGCCAGTTTCCTCTTGGAGCAGGTAATATCCTCAAAAGAAGGAAATTCTGCAATAGCCTTTTACCATCCCCCAGATTTTTATTTCTTATCATGGCACCTCTGGAACTTGTAATAAAAAAGTTAAGAGTAAGGCACCTGACCTGACAAACAGAATAATTACAGAGGTGGCTATTTACAGATGGCTGTGTTTATTCAAGAAAAATAACCATGTTGCCCTGTTTTTGTGGCTGGATTTATCAAATTCTTAGTCAATTTATCAAAGACTCAGTGAATCAGACCTCATGCCACGAGAAATTATTAATTAATTTTACTACTTTTGTAAGAAATGTTGATCCTTAGATGTGCAGCAAACTCATGTGATTTTAAAATAACTGTTCCTACTATTCCTATATTTTCGTATATCATAACTGTGTAATTATACACTAGGCAAACTCATTTATACCACTGCAAAGCATTGGAAATCAGAGTTACTGCACTGGTGCAAAATTATTACACAAAGCATCATAGATACTCTGAGTTTAGGACTAAAAACGGAATTCTCCAATGGTGTCTGATATTTCAAACAGATTATTTACAAAAGCATAGATAATCATGTGTTCGTTAGACTTTACTATATGATTATGCACGAGACTGTGTGGAAATCCTGTGAAAGGCAAAGATGTAAAGAAAGTTTTAAACTCCAGTTCCCATTGCCAATCCAATACCCACCCACACACGTCATCTGTCTTATATCTGATGTGAAACTTACGCAGGCTTTTGCATTTTGCTCAGTTCAATAGTTCAGTTAGGAGGAAGAGCTTAGCAATTCTATTCATTTCATATCTGCTGATAAACATTAATAACTCAGATTTGTGAAAAAAAATTTGAAACTGCTAGTCTATAATATATTGATATTTCCAGGTGTAGCCTGCTGCATAAAGTGGTATTTGCCTGGTTAATAACCAATAAACCAAGCATTTTTTCTGAAGTAGCTGTCTCTCCTTCTTGACTTCCATATAACTTTATAGGAAAATATATGATTTTTAGAACTTTTTTCCACCATGTGTTTCTACATTGTTTCATAAAAAATTACAAAAAAAAAAAAAAAAAGTCTTGTTTTTACTGCCTGTTTACACTACTTAAAACAGTTGTGATACGAGCAGCTGGTCCAAGAAATTAAGTCTCCAGAAAGTCAACACGCCATGTAGGAGGTTTGGGGTCTAAATGCAGGTGCTTGTGAGAGTGTAGTTGAGGCAGGGATGATCTTTCCCTCTGGCGTAGCCCCACAGAGGTTCACAGTGTGCCATTTAGGTGAAAATTTACATTTGCAATCCTTGTCTTGCAGTGGTTTGTATCACAGTTCTGGAAGTTACAATTTGCTGTGGTGGTGATGTTTCTCAGTGCTTATGGTGACCTCTAGTCTTATGCACACCAAGCCAAATTAATTCCTGTGGTGGTGCTATGGTGGTCAGTAGACTGGTTTCAACTTGTATTTGGTATGAAGACAGGGGAATGAGTGCTGCTGTCAGGATGCTGTCAAACTTTGATCTTTCTTTTGCTGAAGTCACAGGGAGATTTGCTGTCAGCCTCAGAGCAGACCTAGATAAACTGCAAAAACAAACAGTCTCTGGGGCCATACACAAACATAATACAAGATCTACCTTCCCCCTGATGTAGATGTTCCTTAGAGCACTGGATTTTCCTTTCTCTGTTCCTAATAACTCCTGTAACAGCATGAGCTGCTGCAGACTGGTCTGTTTTAAGACATGCAGCACCTGGTACCACCTGTTTCCTTACTTAACAAACTTTCTGTAAGGAGGATGTGGAGTTTCCTACATATGCAGGCATGGCAAGGAAGTTAAAGCAAATTGGTATGTTTCTGCTGTTAACAGCTACCTTACTGCCTCGTAGTGGCAGGTGCAGAGAGAGGCACGCAGGACTGAGTGAAGTAACAAGATAGGAGCAAGAACCTGTGTGGAACAGGGCTTTGCACACTTGGTCTGTAAAAAAGAGTCCCTGAAAAACTCCTGGAAGACCTCCAAGCTGTTCTATTCTCCATGTGAACCCTGAAGCACAGGGATAGTACCTGTATGTAGTATTTGGGAAGTTAATTTGGCAGACACTGCTTTTAAAGGGAACTCACTGGAACTGTAGTTCAGGCTTTGACACAAGAGGGCCTTACTGGAGATAGAGAAGCACTTTTCCAAGAAAGCTTCTCAGATCTTCTTGAACAGAAAATAATACAAATGCAAATTTAGTGAATAAAGGCTAAACCTACTGGCAGAGTGTTCCTTGCTCCGTTTTGCAAGCTGTCATGTCCATGCCAATACACTAGACTTCCCTTCAGCAAAAGCTGTTTCAGCCCATGGGTGTGTTCTTTGTTTTGTGGAGAGATGTAGTGTAATTTGACTTTGCTTCAAACAAGCATTGACAAGATGGGAGCCACAAGAAAACAAAACAAGACAAAATATGACACAACAAAACGAGAAAACACTCCCATGTGCAGACTAAACCTTTCCTTGAGTAAACCTCTTTGTCATTATTGGTAAGTTCTTAACCCCACATTTTGTGCTCTCCCAAGGCCTGCTGGATGGCAGTTCACTGCTTTACAGACCTACCTTTCCTGAGGCAGCCTTTGGGGGAATGATTCCAGGGTGTCCAGGCTATGAATTCTGCAGGCTAGGCAGATTTCTCAGGAAGCAGTGAGCTCTCTCCCCCTCTGAAGATCTGCATCCTCTAGGACAACAGGATTGAAAAGCTAAGCAACCCAGGGTCAACACTGGGTAAGGAGTAAAAACTGCCTTTTGAAACTGATCACACATGGACTAGATCCCCAAACATGAGGGATAAGTTAAGCTTGAGACCTTTAAACAGCTGCTTTTGAAGATTCCAGAGATTTCCTTGTTCTAAAGGTTCAACAAGAGCACAGTGTAGCTGTGAGAGTTTCTGTAAATGCTGCCTTCAGACAGGAGGGCTCTCAGAAGCAGGGATTTCACTGTGTGCATTTTGTCACGGATTTACACACCCTAAAAAAGGTAAATCACTGTCAGTGCTGACTGGTTTTTAAAGTGCTTTTGCTGCTCTGCTGAATTTGTATGGTGGTATTGATAGTCATAGGATACTTGTTAGTAGATTCAATAGAAATGTAGCCTAATAAAAATTACTAAAATTATTAATTTGCTGTACTAAGTCAGCTGAGCAGGTGACTTTTAAAACAATGTGCTTTGTGAAACTGTCAGTCAATTATGCCAAGCATCCTGCAGGTTGTGATAACATCACGGCTTCTAAGACCTGTGGTGCCTACAGACAACACCCATGTTGATTCTGACCCACCTGGGCAATCTACCAGTGGGAGGCTGGAGGCAGAACCAGGAGGAGAGAGGGACAAAGATGACAAAGGACTAGAATCAACAAAGACCCCTCCCCAGGAGACCCTTGAGCATGCATAATTACGAAGATAGCCAATTCCAGAAAATAAAATGACTGTAAAAGAACTGTCAGATAACACTCCCAACAGAGGTGTTAGGCAGTGAAAGGAGTCCTTGTTTTCTCCTGAAATAGCTCCTCTTCCCACATCTTATTTGAAATAAAATGAAGTTCACTGCTGGTGTCAGGAATCACCCTGGCAGAGCAGGGAGAGGCTCTTCTACCTCATTACACAAACACAGCCCTTACCAATGCTAAGCAAAGCTAGGCTGCTGTGTGCTGGCAGCTGCTTTAACACATCACACTCAAAAATGCATTCCTTTCCACAAACCTGGCAGCTGAGACAAATTAATTACAGACAGGAGGGACACATAGGTGCAGAAGAAGAAGAAAATAATTTTCCTGAGGCAAGGGAGCAGCAGAAATGAGGACAGAAGTTAAATTCCCTGATTGCCAGGCCAGTGTCTGGCTCACCGTACCGTGCTTTCTCTCTCTGTCCTTGCTCACCAGTGCACTTGTGGGATTTCAGGTGGGAGGCACTTGGGAAGGGGTACAGTGCCTAGATAGATGGAGGCCATGATGGAGAGAGCAGGCAGAGGAAAGCTGGGAGGGAAGAGCCTGTACCTAGAGGTGTGCTACTCCACTTGCAAGCTGTCAAGGTGGGATGCATTGTCCTCCTCCCTTCCCCCTGCAAGTCCTTGCATTCCAAGCAACTGTGCAGCTAACCGAGCATGGTTCAGCTGTGAGGAGTTTGAGCTTACTCCTCCCACGGGTGAGGAAAAAAAAAAATAAATCACACATTATGGATAGGCAGTGTAATGTCTTGTGACAGCCATGCTCAATCTTCCCCTCTGCATGGAGCTGAGTCCCATGCTCTGAGGCTCACATGAAACTGAAGAGGGAAACAATGAGCTTCCTTTCTTCTCTTCTCCAGATCACACTGATGCAGAGTGAACAAAGCACAGCATCAAGGAGTGATAACTGGGGAAACTTTGCTCCCTTTGGTAGTTCAGGCTCACAAGCACCTGCCTGTTACACCAGGCACCATCTGCTCTTCGCTTGCCATTTACTTAAGGGCTGAGGGGACTTCACAAAATCCAATGCAATGTGTTAAATAACCAGTTTTAGCAGGCACTGGGTTTCCCCTGTGGAGGAACAGTGTGGCACTGCGGGTTTACTAGAAGCACTCCAATTTTTGCTGGCAGCAGGCATCTGCTGCCTGATTAAGATTTGCAGCAGTGGGTCTCCGGTGGCCACAGTTTCAACATGGATTTAACTTCCCCGAGGTCAAAGGTGTAACTTGAGGGAGGAACTTTCTCATCCAAGATCTTTATTTAATAGCGGCCTGCTAATTATGACTGAGTGCTGGGCTCCTGGCGAGTCCCTTGCCAGCCCTCAGGCATTACCCGCTGGCTCAGGGACCATTTGCTGGGGAATGTCCTGGCAGAGGCTGCGCTTTGTGCCTAAGCTGCCCTGCTGCTGCTGCCTCAAGTGCCTGATTGGCTTTTGCATCCAGAGGCTGCGAGAACTGCTGCTACCGGGGGAGACCTTCATTTTTTTCTATTGTTTAGTCTTTTGTCTGACGACACTTGGCAGCAGCATTAACCACAGTCTGTAGTTTTTTTTCCCTTCTATTTTTATGTTTTTAAAAGGGGCAGGAAGGGGGTTGGAAAGAGCTTCAGTTACCCGTTTGGTGGGTAGTGGTGTTTTCTTCTGCCTCCTTCCAGCCTTTGGAGCTGATTCACTGCTGGTCTGGGGTTATTTCTTTGCAGAATTCATTTTACACCCTGCAGATGTGGATCTTAGCTCACAAAACTTCACTTCTTCACTACTTCTGGATGTATCTCCTTGATCAGAGTTAAATCCTGTCCTCAGTGGCAACGTTGTGCCCTTTGAAGTGATTGCTCCAGTGAAAATGGTGTAACCTTCCAGATTTACAGTCCTGAGAGCAGGATTAATTCTTTTGAATTTAAGGTGCTTCCTGGTGCTTTGTTTGTTTGTTTGGGGTTTTTTTTGTTGTTTGTTTATTTGTTTTTGTGGGGATTTTTGTGTTTTGTTTTGGTTTGGTTTGGGTTTTTTTTAATTGTCAGCTAAATATGGGTCTGTTAACCTGTGGTTATGGGAGGTGAACAGAAAGCAGAGAATCAAGGCTTGCAGGTTAATGCAATTTATCTGTCCATGATATGTAGCAAGGGGTGATTTCTGCACAGATTTAAAATGGACCAGTGGAATGTAAGCTGCTCACAACCACTAGACGATGCATATTTTATAGAGTGCATGACAGAAACTAAAGAATACATAGATCAGATGTGCAATATTTGCAAAGACCTGAAGCTGCAAGTACCATCATACTGAAAACCAAGCTTGGTGGGGAGAGTTGAAGAGAAGGAGGGAAGAGGAGGAAGGGAATGACACAAAAGGAATGGAAAGCAGATCCCTCGTTTGTAGACTGGCTGCATCTTAACTGGAAGGTGCTGCAGCTACAGAGAACTGCAGGATTGGACCAGGCTCGTTTTTCTCTTACGTTTCTAGCTGAAATTCTGAGCACAACAACAGGAAATCTACACTAGTAAAGGGGGAAAGGAGAGAGGAATTTAAGGTGGAGAGACCTATAGAGGTGGGTTACACCTTAAATAGCTCCTGTAGAACTATTAGTGCACGAAGAGGTACTGGGGGAGGGGAGGAACTGTTGTTTGCTGATTTTGAATAAATGTCAGAAATACAAACTCGTGTTTCTGGAGTGTAAAGCAGGAGGGAGCAGGTCTCATAAAAGCATCTGTTTGCTGACAAGGCTTGTGACCAAGAATGCACTATTGTCCTTCTCAAAGGCAAGAGAAGAGAGACAAAGAAAGCGTGATGTGAAGGAGTAGGCTGGGGTTATTTTCCCACCAATAATACAGCTAACAGGACAAAATGACATGCTGACAGTGCCTGAGCTGGCTGCTGTCCTGCTTTCCTGGAGTGCTGCACTGGGGACTGTCTGCAGCACGAGAAAGAGAAGGAGCAGACCCTCTGTTGGTATTTGTAGCTGAGTTGTAAACAGGCATCCAGGAAACCCAAACCCACCTAACAGAGTCACAGTGCAGAGACTGAAAGAACTGGCAAAACACAATCCACCTGGTCCAATGGAAGAAACAAGAAAGCCAAATAACCTTCCATCGGTTATGAAATGCATATATCTGTGCCCTTGTACACAGGCGAAAAAAAGTAAACCAACTAAAAACAGAACAGAGAAGGTGATGGCACTCTGAATTTCACATGGATCCAAGCAGCTGCTTAGAGGAATAAAACTGTAAAGGCAGAAGATTTGTCTAGGGCAGTGAGTGTGCTGCAGAATAGAGGAGCGCTGGAAGACAGTGCTTAAAATCTCTATCACTGCTGTGGCAGTGTTCTTGCCAAAGAGGTACATGCTAGCTGTTTCAGGTAGGTGCAAAATACCAAGTAGATTGGTTCTCATAGCACAAATGAAAAGTAATACATGGGGTAGAAGAACAATTTAACAAAGAGATAAAGTCCCCATTCAGATCAAGCAATGAGTTTCAATCTAAGTCTACCAAGAATATGAAAAACTCTCAGCAACCTGAACTATGGGGGTTTGTTTTTTAAATGAGCCTCTCACGAGGCAAGCCCATTTTGATGAAGCAGCTTTCTCATCTCTTCAGGGCAGAGCAGACAACTAGGTCTGACAGTAGTTTCAGACTTCTATCAAAGTAGAAATGTGTTAGCTCTGTAAAGGCTACAGTGAAAAGAGCCTGTGAGGTATGGGTGGCATGTGAACAGCCTTATATGCTATAGTAGAATGTACATGTGTGCATCTGTGTTAGCTTCACCTCAGACTGAGGTCTCTGAACACAGCTCTGACATAATTTATGAGGCTCTGTGTTTCTCAAGTGATTTGTAATCAGTACTGGACTGGTACTTGAAGAAGCTGGGAGGGAACTTCCCTGTCTGCCATGCATGTCTTGTCTCCCTGCCAGGGCATCTCAATTAACCTCTGAGTCACAGTGTTGTCCTGGAAGTGGGGTCTGTCACCTAGTGTGCAAGAAGGCAATCAAAACATAGAGTCAAGAGATTTACTCTGATATTCAGTTCTGCACAGAAAAGGGAGCAGGGTGGTATTCCACAAAGCAAGCTCAGTTTCCTGAAACACAAGTGTCACTTTTATACCCAAACACATGAGAAAGAACTTCAACATCTTCTATCACTGGCACACACAATTGGTCAACTGACCCCTTGCTTCCATTTAAATTGGAAATGATCAGAAACTTCACTATACCTGCTGAAAGAGTAAGGGGCTTGTAGTCAGTAGGGGTCCCTCTAGCCTGTGGGTGTGAATTTCAGTATGCTAATGGTTTATTAATGTATTAATACAGTGATTTCAATTACTCTATGTATTTTAGCGCAGTGCTCAAGGCTGTAAGCAAGGCAAGCTGCGGGGAGTGCTCCTTTCCATCCCTTCCATCTGTCCTGCAGGCCTGTTTCAAGGCTGGGCTGGTGACTGCTTGGGGAGTGTTTTGCTCTAACTGGAGTCTGGTTTTGTCTAATTCTTACTGTCTCATTGTTATCTGGGCCCATTTTTATTCTGTGTGTCTTATGTTATCTTTTATGTGATTTTACCCAAATGTATTTTCCTCTCAAATTTTACTTATTTCAATTAATAACTTACATAAACAGTGGGATTTCTTTATTCAGCCAGACTATTGCCATGTACTCTGTTGAACCCCAAGTGTCTTGCATGGTATGAGGCTGGTTTACATGGACACAGGATCACAGCTGAGCTTTGACCTCAAAGTTTCTTGTTTCTGGGGGTGAAAAGTGCTGTCAGCCCTGCTCCCAAGTCCCCTGTGGGACTGCTGTAAGGATGGGTTTGCCAATTATATAAAAAGCTGAGGTTTTCACATGCATGAGAGGGTAAGTGCAAACATTTGTCCTTTAGTCTCTTGGCTGTGGATAGTTTTTCCCTGCTCCAACTGTCTGTGTGCCATTGGCATAAAAAGCAGCTTCAGAAATAGAGAAGCGAGTGTCTTCTGCCAGGCTGTGTGAGAGAAGGGAAGACTCATTTCAATGGTGGTGGGAGCAGGGTTTGGGCAACCCCGAGAACTTTTGAAGACCTTTCTGGTAAACAACATCCCTTGCACAGCGCTCTTTTGTTGCCAGGTCTGCAGTGGGCACTGGGTTCCCTTTGCTGCATAGCTCTGTGAGGCAGGGTGGACAGGAAAACATTTCTGTAGACATTTTGGCTGTGATGCCAGCATGTTTTGTAGGAATTGTGCTTTCCCTCTGCAGCCTGTACTCATGGCACTATTGGCTTAGTCTTGACAGCTCTTAGAATCTAAAGTAGAGGCCCAAATAGATCAGACTGAATCTCTGCCACCAGTAGTGAGCAGTTAGTATGGCCTGGGCAGGGAACCAGGCTGTTTCTTCTTTGGAAAAGACTCCTGAAATAACCGTAATCACGTCTGTGGTGCCAGCTGTCTGCTTACTCTAGGCCCATGATGAAGGTCCACCTGGCTTACGTCCAGCCATGAGTCATTGAGCTTGGGCCAGCTGGGAGCAGCCCAAGAAGGTGTGAACTGGGGCTGGGAAAGCATGAATGTGTTCCTCCTTGGGCCTGGTTTTCTTCTCCCTAAAAAATAGCCTGATGGGACAACTAATGAACTGGCTAAGAGGAATTCTGAGTTTTTCTGCAGGGGAGCACTCAGGAGCCTGGAGAAGCTGAGCTCACAGCAGCACCAAACTGTCATATAATGAAATAAAACTCCATTTACTCCTTTGTGAGATTCTAACTGGACTCTGGCATCTGATTGCAGCTGCAGTGGTTATGATTGTGGTTATGAATGGGAACATGAGTTCAGTGATTAGGATGAATCTGTGTGGGACATGCAGGACATGGGCATCAGCCATAGAGGACAAAAATTAAAAACGTGTAGCACCACCACTGTGTGCTTGCTGCTGACCCAGAGGCTTCAGTGTCACCAGAGCAGCAGCTTGCATGAAAGCCAGGGGTATATAGCATTCACTCACCATCTACTTTGCTTTGTAGAACCTTGAGAATGACAAGGAAGATCTTCACCAACACCAGGGAGCGATGGAGGCAGCAAAATGTCAACAGTGCCTTTGCCAAGCTGCGGAAACTCATTCCCACCCACCCACCAGACAAAAAACTGAGCAAGAATGAGACGCTTCGGTTAGCTATGAGATACATCAACTTCCTGGTCAAGGTCCTGGGAGAGCCAGGCCTGCAGCAGACAGCAGTGGCAGCACATGGCAGCATTCTGGGGTTCTTCCAGCAAGTCCCATGCTTGCAAAGCATGGAGGAGCTGACTCTGATTGAAAACTGTGGTGTCTCCTCTCCTGACATGAGCAGCAATACAGCAGAGTGTTGGTCAGAGACATCATCTCCCTAGCAGAAAATGAGACATTCAGTCTTGGTGTTAGTCTGATAGCCCCCATCTTTTTGCAGAATCTGTGGGTTGCTTCCCTATGTATTGTGCTAATTTATGTTTATTTATTATTGTTGTATTTGGTATACATTTTTATTCAATAGGAAAGGAAATTCTCAGTCAGCCAAAAACCTGGAAGACCAGATAAACTTGCAGCCTCTGGGAAGCTGGAAGGACTCACTGCTGCCACAACAGAGTCCAATCCTGAAGGGCCTTCTCCTCCATAAATCAGGCCACAGAATTTCATCCAGTGTTTCTGGCAGGGTAAGAGGTTATTCTCCCATGCTACTTCTAGGAAACACTACTGAGCTCAAGAATGATGACGGCACTACAAAATTTGTCCAAGACAGATATGTGGCCTCAGTAGTGAAGAAATTTGAGAGATGTGATATTTACCATAGCTCTCCATCAGTCATTCTGGGGGCTAATTGCAATCATTCTTGAACCTGTGACTCTTATTTACAGCTTGATTAATTTTTCTGAAAATACAAGTCCTAGCCCCTGATCCTGGCTACATCTTACTCCATCAGACTGGAGGGATACCAGAGCAAAATGCCATTAACAAAACAAAATATTAAGTTAAAGCAAAAATGTCGATTTAAAATGAAATAAGACATAGTCATGTTGTCCCAAATGTCTTCCTGTTTTATTTACTGTAGCTGGGCTTCCTCCATCTGGACACTAATCCCAAATGAGCTGATGGAGCAGATGCAGAAATTGTTGTACATGTCTTCCACTTCAGGAAAAAAAAGCTGAAAGGTTTTATGGTGATTTATTTTTCTTTTTCTGAACACTGCTAATCTTCAGTTTGCTTATTCTTGCATTTCTGAGCTGTCAGGGCTGAGGACTGGAGTGAAGAGCAGCTGAGTGGAAACACGCTAAGAATCTTGTACAGCCTGTGAAGTCAGTACTGCTTTCTCCCTGCCTTTGCTCACTTTAATGTCACAGCCTCTTCTGCACAGTGCCTCAAACGTAATGAGCCAAGTCCTTCTTGTCCTGCTTTCTGTTGACTTGCTGGGAGTTACAGCAAGGATAAATTAGTCCAAGTGAATCAGAGCACATATTGACAAAGTGTGGTGGTGCTATTTGGTCTAGCAGTCAGCCACTTGCTATCCTAGGAAACACATGTCATGAAGGCAAGCCAGAACACCTTGTAAGCAGAGTTACTGTCCAGGGAAGAAGAAATGCTGGCTATTTTGTAACACAATGTGCTTATAATATTTTCTATCCTAAAAAGCTTCCCTTCTGATTATTGCTTTGGTTCGTATCAACAATTCCTTTGTTCTCCTTTCCATTTAGGAGCTCCCTATTCCCATTTTCAGCATGGATTTGACTAGATTTATCTACCAAAGATTATTTTTTCTGGGGATAAGGTTTTGTCTTTGTGTTTTGTGGATTTCTTATCTGTATGATCATGAACAAAGATGGTGTAACTCGCCACACTTTGTACTGTATGTTATTTAACATCTAATATATTCCAAATAAATTATTTAAGGAACTAATTTTTGTCTTTTTTAACTTCTCTAAAATTTCATTTTACATTTTCATACCACTTGGTAGAGGATAACAAAAAAACTGCAGCGTAATTTCCAGTAGAGGATTGTTCTACTGTTCAGCACTTACACATGAGGTAAGTAGTAAGTAAATTTCTTGATGCTAGAAACAACATGACCAGATTATTAAGAATGACACAAATTCTTTACATATTATGATTTCTTAAACTTTTTGGTTGAATTGTTTTTCAACTGACATGATAAGAAAATTTTGACCAGATGTTGAAAAAGATAGATAAACAAAATTTCATTGTGCAACACTCTTGTGTTTCTCTTCGAAATATTCACAATTCAGAAAGATTTTAACCAACTCCATTTTAAAAGGCGAAGTCACCATAAAGAATTAATTTGGACTCTGATTTGAGTCTGTCATGATCTGGAGATGTTGAGATAGGCACAACCTATAGATTCAGACTGGAGTCTGGGTTCAGATACAAAAACTCACCCAAAGCTGAGGGGAACTTAGAATGTAAAGCCACTCTTTCTGACTAGCAACTGGAGGGAACAACCTAATCCTCAGTTGACTATGAAGCTAGGAGAGGGAGAGGAAGAACTAGGATTACAGATGGAGAAGTTGTGAGGAAAAGATGGACAATGACTGTGTCACAGGGCCAATTTCAGTTTCATGTCTATATGGATGTCTCACAGCCCTGCTCTTTGGTACACCAGGAGAGGGACTTCTGCACAACTGTAGCTAAGAAAGGTATAATCTTGAAAGATTAAATGTACAGGCCATTAAATATACCAAATGTGAGGTTCAAAATACGTTTTTCTACTGAGCAAGGAAACATCACCTTAGAGAGGATGCTATCCTCACAGCAGGTAGTGTCAAATAAATTAGTAAGCTCAGGATGATGTCAATGTCTCCTCTGGAAATGGGCACAGCACAGCCATGTTAATGTTGTTTTAGGACTCTAAGATCCATCCTAGCATATTTCTCTGAGCAATAAGTGGAAGCTGCAGGAGCAATGTAGTTCAGAGGCGCAGGATTCAAGACACACTTAGTAATTTATCTCCCACTATCTAACTAGCTCCCACAAATTTATTTGCTGCTAGTGACCATGGTTGAAGGACTGTGAACAAGGCAGATCTGACTTTTGTTCTTTGAAGGCTGTGTGATGAAAGAAGGTGGAAAGAATGGGCAACTTAACTAGTGACCTGCAGGGCAGAGGTCACTTGAGGCCCAGTCTTAAATCTAAAGGTCACTGACAAAGTCTCAGAGTTTAAATCCTTCACTTTTCAGGGGTGCAATTGTATTTTTAATACAGCAGGTGGTGAGAGGATCAGAGGGCAGAAGATGGGTGGAGGAAGCAACTCAAGTATTTGGATTACAGAAGGTAGAGATTGCCCAGTATCTGCTTGACACATGTATCTGGTTTAATTTATTCATTATTGTTCTCTCTGTAAGCATTTTCATTGTAATTTAAGTTGGTTCAGCTCTTCTCTGTAAGAAAAAGTGTTAGTCTCATCCCATTGTATTGCTCCCCCACCCCCTTCCATGTGTGCAAATGAATGCACATCCCATCCCTCCACGGTTTGTTGCTCTGCCATGGATTGCAGACCCCGAGAGAAGCTCCTTTTGGGAGGAACCCCCATAGCCACCATGATCCAAACAGAGAGCCAAAGAGCAACCAACTGTTCTGTGAATACAACTCCCCCGCTGAGCATCAGTGCCACAAAATAGCACAGACTTCTGGATGAGGGGCAGAAAGGAGTGAGTCAATGAGACTCCTGGGGATCTCAGCATGGGCTGCACTGGGCCTGAGATGAAGTTTTCAACTTTTATGCCAGCAAGCAATGCAGAGAGGTAGTCATAAGCACTGGGCAGGAGAGGTTTCCCATGCACCCACCTCTCTGCCCCATTATAGCTGGCCAGGTGCACAGTGAACAACACTGTCTCAGACCTGGGGAACTTCCCTCATTTCCTTTAAAACTGCCTACGCTTGCACCTTGAAAGACAGACTCTTCCTTAGGTAGCCTAAAACCTTAATGAAAGGACAAAGGATGAGGGCCCGTGGTCAGAAAGTCTTAATGAAGGCATTCTGCCTCCAACCCTTGGTACTGACACTGCTTAGCACTGATTTTCTCTTGCTGACAGTATTTGGAAAATCCTGGTAGACAGCAGAGCCCAGCCCTAGAGCTGAGAAAGTCTAAGAACAGCTAGTATTAAATCTCCCTTCAAATCACAGCTGTGTTCCTGTGCCTCAATCTAAAGGTCACTGACAAAGTCTCAGAGTTTAAATCCTTCACTTTTCAGGGGTGCAATTGTATTTTTAATACAGCAGGTGGTGAGAGGATCAGAGGGCAGAAGATGGGTGGAGGAAGCAACTCAAGTATTTGGATTACAGAAGGTAGAGATTGCCCAGTATCTGCTTGACACATGTATCTGGTTTAATTTATTCATTATTGTTCTCTCTGTAAGCATTTTCATTGTAATTTAAGTTGGTTCAGCTCTTCTCTGTAAGAAAAAGTGTTAGTCTCATCCCATTGTATTGCTCCCCCACCCCCTTCCATGTGTGCAAATGAATGCACATCCCATCCCTCCACGGTTTGTTGCTCTGCCATGGATTGCAGACCCCGAGAGAAGCTCCTTTTGGGAGGAACCCCCATAGCCACCATGATCCAAACAGAGAGCCAAAGAGCAACCAACTGTTCTGTGAATACAACTCCCCCGCTGAGCATCAGTGCCACAAAATAGCACAGACTTCTGGATGAGGGGCAGAAAGGAGTGAGTCAATGAGACTCCTGGGGATCTCAGCATGGGCTGCACTGGGCCTGAGATGAAGTTTTCAACTTTTATGCCAGCAAGCAATGCAGAGAGGTAGTCATAAGCACTGGGCAGGAGAGGTTTCCCATGCACCCACCTCTCTGCCCCATTATAGCTGGCCAGGTGCACAGTGAACAACACTGTCTCAGACCTGGGGAACTTCCCTCATTTCCTTTAAAACTGCCTACGCTTGCACCTTGAAAGACAGACTCTTCCTTAGGTAGCCTAAAACCTTAATGAAAGGACAAAGGATGAGGGCCCGTGGTCAGAAAGTCTTAATGAAGGCATTCTGCCTCCAACCCTTGGTACTGACACTGCTTAGCACTGATTTTCTCTTGCTGACAGTATTTGGAAAATCCTGGTAGACAGCAGAGCCCAGCCCTAGAGCTGAGAAAGTCTAAGAACAGCTAGTATTAAATCTCCCTTCAAATCACAGCTGTGTTCCTGTGCCTCACCACCCTCACACTAAAGAATTTCCTTCTAATGTCTAGACTAAATCTCCCCTTCAATGACAGCCAACATGGCTTCACTAAGGGCAAATTCTGCCTGACAAGTTTGGTGGCCTCTTATGATAGGGTTAGTGCATTGGTGGGTATTTACTGATGTTGTTTACCTGGACTTGTGCAAAGCATTTGACACTGTGC